AGTGGTGAGTGTGCCCCCCTAAAAGTGTTGCCCCTGGTGTAAGAGTAACGATGGTCCTTCTGCGCCAAACAGACAGGCACCTTTAAAAACTTAAATTACTCAAAAAAAAATAAAAGAGTGAAAACAGTGAAAAAAAAGAACACTAAAGCAAATACATATGTACATAAATATATAAGCAAATAAGCGCACAAGTGAACAAATAGGAACCTTTTAAAAAATTATATAAAATTTAATTGCACGGGCGCGCCGCGTAAACAAAATTTACACAAAACAAAATTTCGGGCGCGAAAACAAAAAAAAAATAATAATCTTCAATAATAAAAATAGAGGACAACCAACAGCCAAGCAGCAATATTAAGCGAGGACGCAAAGACAACGAGGGAGGAGGATATTAGTCCAAGCGCAGGCCCACCAAAGAACAATACAGTTCACCAGCAAGAGCAGCCCATAATACCCCAAAGCCCTTAATATATCAAAGTGAGTTGTATCGTTCCACTTATTTTTAACTAACCTAAAAATCTGGTGAAAAAGCGAACTGGGGTTAAATTAACTCGAATTTAATTCCCATAACCTCATTTTCAGCTGGCGGTGAAAATTCAAATCACGTTCATATACGTAGATACCCAAATACATATGTACACACATATGATATTGGCCTATAAACATATATATACAGTCCACTTAATAAACTTACACCCCAGCTTAGCTTAACATAAAAGGCGCAAAAATAATTATACATATATAAATAAATACTGTATGTAAGTACATACAGAAATCACCCAAAATAAATACAGTTCGCTTTAGAAACTATATATCAATAACAAGAATTCCTCCGCTTATGTGCTTAAATTTCGTGTAATAAAACACAAACAATTATACCGCAAAACATATTCAAGTGGAAACTTGCAAATATTTCCAGCAATACCCCTTCTGTTTGTATAACAAACAGCAAGCAGGATTGCATAAACAAGTAAGCTACAAAGCAAAATAATAACTAATAAGAATTGGCGGCAAAATAACGAATAGCGTATGTGCACATAAGCACAACAATACATACGACATAACATTATTCCCCAATTGCCATTTCTTCACCTAATATAATACAGGCTTAATATTGGTGGTCAATATACATATGTACATACTCCCGTTCTTTGAACCCAAAATAATTTTGAAAACACAAACGGGCATACATCATATACAAAGCAACGAAAACGAAATTATAAATTATCTCTTTCTCCCGTCCTTCGCTAGTAAACATAGTTACACACACACTAACTATTGTTAACCACCCGCGCTTAACCTATGTTAATATATGGTAGCATTGCGTGCAAACATTAATATACTGACATACATACCTACTAACCCAGTAGTGCATATACCTTATACGGCGCACGTAAAGGAAAAGTATTAAGAAGCGCGGAAAAATAAAATCCCTCAAGTTAAAGATTTAATTTGCGATAATTTAATGAGCAATTTTTAATTGAAAGAGAAAAAAAAAATACCAACCCATCGAAATTATTAAAATTTATATTACGAAAAAAAATAGTCATACATACGCACGTAAATAATAAAACTCGAAAGAGAGTATTGCGGATACATTGTGTCACTATAAAGAAAAGTAAGTCAAAATCCGATCGACTATACGGGCACTCACATTATTCCATCATTCGTGGGTATTAAGATACATAGAAAAAAAAAACAATTTTATAAATTCTCGAGTTCACATTTAAATGCAAACGAACAAGTCTCCCATCAAAGAACCGAAAACACCTCAATTGCTAGATATACCGAAAATGGTTGACGAAGATAAGCATCAAAGCACCCCTGCAGAAGCTACACGCTCAAAACAGGGTGCGAAGCAAAAAAAGACCAAAGATTTTTCGGCCGCAAAATTTATTGCGGAAAGTGACAGTCTAATAAGATACTGCACTAGGTTTTCCGCAGCCCCTATCCAAGACAATTCAGAATCAGTTCTGGAAGTAAAAACCCAAAGTCTTGATAATTTTTGGACACGTCTCCAATCGGCTTACGACGCCATAATTGAAACTGAGGATTCAGATTTACCTGAAAATTTTAAATCCTCGGCTTACGCCAAATATGAAAATTGCTTAGACCAATACGAAGAAACAAAGGCTATGATTTCCGATCAACTAAAATTAATAAAGCCATTAAATGCACCTACTCCACCCCCGAGAGTAGAGCTGCCCCAGATACAAATCCAAGAAGCAAGTTCAGGCATACATCTTAAAGTGCCAGCATGTGATACAGAAGTATTTCATGGAGGTTATGAACAATGGCCGTCCTTCCGGGACATGTTTACAGCCGTATACATAAACCATCCAAAGTTATCTCAAGCGCAAAAACTGTATCACCTCAGATACAAAACAAAAGGTCAAGCAGGCGCTATAGTTAAACAATTCGCACTTAGTGACGATAATTTTAATCTGGCTTGGGAAGCATTAAAATCACGATATGAGAATGAAAGAGTATTGGTCGACAATCAAATAACGATTTTAATGAACTTGCCAAAAATTCAAAAGGAAACAAGCGAAGAATTCATGAAATTACAGTCCACTGTATCAAACTGTTTGTCGGTTCTCGCGACACAGAAAATTCCCACGGATAGTTGGGACCCTATTCTGGTAAACGTATGCGCTGCAACTTTACCAGAAAAATCGTTACTCTTATGGGAGCAATCGCTCTCATCCCGAAAAAAATGCCCAACGTGGCAACAAATGAAAGACTTCCTCACTACCCAATTCGAAATCGCAGAAAGGGTAGATAAAAAAATATCAAAGCCGAAAAATACACAGCTCGACCTCAATAGAAGCTACAATAGACCCCAAGCCAGTAATAATAATTTACATAATCGAAGCTTCAACAGAACTCAATCGTTCATCTCAGAACAGAACAAACGTATGTCATGCGAATTTTGTAAAGGAGGTCACTCATTAAGATCTTGCGAGAAGTTTAAAAAACTTACAACAACCGAACGATATAATGTCGTTAGAAATAATAGACTTTGCACAAATTGCTTCTCACATTCTCACATCCAAAAAGACTGTGAAAGTAAATTCAATTGTGTATACTGCCAAAAGAGGCATCACTCGATGCTCCACATTAATAATTTTACCCCCCAAAACAGCTCCAACTCACAAAGAGCCACAGGGCTAGTTGCAACAGCTAGACCCGAACACCCCGAAAATCTCGAAAACGAAACCGAGAAACCATGCTGTTCAAAAACAGCAAATATACAAGCGCTTCATTCCGAAAATGAAAGCAAAATTTTACTGCCAACCGCGATTGTCTCGATTGAACATCGAGGAGAATTATTCAAGCTTAGAGCTCTAATCGATCAAGGCTCACAAAGATCGTTTATCTCATCAAAAGTACAAAACCGGCTAAAACTCCCAACCACAAACTCAAACTTTGAAATTTCGGGAATGGGTGGAAGAGTAATACAAAACTCTAATAAAATATGCTCATTAACCCTGATTTCCCCCAATGCGGATGTAAGAATAGAGGCACACGCCATAGTTCTGCCGCAACTTACAAATATGCTTCCAAGCTATAAAGTAAATGGCAAAGATCGCCAAAAATTGGCCCACCTAAAATTAGCGGATCCCAACTGCCACACCCCCGCGCAAGTTGATATCCTATTAGGCAGCGACCTAATCCCCCAAATAATGCTAGAAGGCATTGAGAAAATTTCAAATACCCTGTTAGCCCAAAATACCATCTTTGGATGGATATTGAGCGGCCAAATAAAAGAAAAAATATCGGTATTCACAACACAAGTTGAAGATATTTCAAACGAACACCTCAATTCTCAATTAAGAAGATTTTGGGAGTTAGAAGAACTCCCCCCCATGCAAGTCATTACCCCAGAAGATAAGTATTGTGAAGACTATTATAAAGCCACAACTACAAGATCAAAAAACGGCCGCTACGTTGTACGGCTACCATTCAAGCCACAATTTCCCGACACACTCGCCTTAGGCCACTCTCGAACCTCAGCACTTCAGCAATTTTTAAGTATGGAAAAAAACCTGCTTAAAAAAGGCGAGCTAAAGACCTCGTATGACAATGTACTCGAGGAATACCTCCAATTAAATCATATGGAAGTAGTCGAGTCATATGAAAAAATTACAAAAGGTAAATATACTTCATTTTACCTCCCACACCATGCAGTAATAAAGCCAGAAAAACTTACAACAAAAGTAAGAGTTGTATTCAATGCCTCGAAATGCACAAGCTCAGGCAATTCATTAAATGACGTATTATATACGGGACCCACACTACAACCTGATTTAATGCTCCTAATACTAAATTGGCGCATGTTTAAATACGTTTTCAATGGGGATGTCGAAAAAATGTACAGACAAATCCTTGTGCATAAAAACGACCAAGATTTTCAGCGCATTATATTTCGCAATTCACCTAGTAGTCCAATACGCGACTACAAATTAAAAACGGTGACATTTGGCGTAAATTGCGCCCCCTTTCTTGCCATTCGAACACTTCACGAATTGGCAAACGATATAAAAGAAAAATTGCCTCTAGCAACCCCGGTGTTAAAAACACAAACTTATGTGGACGATATCCTGTCGGGAAGCCACAGCTTACCCCAAGCATGTGAATCACTATCTCAAGTGATCCAAGCCCTCAACTCCGCAGGGTTCCCCTTAAAAAAGATAACGGCCAACCACCCCGAAATATTAAAAAATATAAATAAAGATCACATATTAGACACAAACTTCCTCATCTTTGAAAAAGAAAGTACCACCAAAACTCTGGGAATACGATGGAATGCGATATCAGATCAATTCTCATACACTCTTGAGTCAATATCTGCAATATCCGCAAAAACCAAAAGGCAAATCCTGTCGTCTGTGGCAAAACTTTTTGACCCCGCAGGATGGCTTGCACCAATTATGATCCAAGCAAAGATACTCATTCAAGAATTGTGGCTAGACGGAACAGATTGGGACGAACAAGTTAAACCACTACGCTTGATAAAATGGTCCCAATTTGCTAACAATCTGAACACTATTTCGGAAATACAAATCCCTCGATGGGTAAACTACTCTCCCGAACATCAAGTCGAACTTCACGGCTTCTGCGACGCCTCTGAAAAGGCATACTGCGCTACTATATACGTGCGCACACAACAAGATAGCAAAACAACAAGCCACTTGCTAGTCGCAAAAGGCAAAGTGGCTCCGCTAAAGACCGTAAGCCTACCACGACTTGAGCTATGCGGGGCGCTCCTCCTTGCAAAACTAGCCTCCACCGTTCAAACCCACTTAAGCCTGAACAATCGCAAATTACATCTATGGACTGACTCTGGAATAGTTTTAGCTTGGTTAGAAAAACCACCCCATATGTGGAAGACATATGTGTCAAACCGCACAGCCCAAATAATTGACTTAGTTGGGCCAGCAACTTGGCGACATGTAGCCAGTGCTGACAACCCAGCCGATCTTGGCACAAGAGGTTGCAAACCCCTGCATCTCGCCACCACCTCACTCTGGTGGAACGGCCCCAGCTGGCTAACAGAATCACAAGAATTCTGGCCACAATCCCCGATACGCAACATAATACCCCCCGAAAGTCGAAAAATTGAAAGCTTTCATGCCGTATTGAATGATACTGACATACTGGAGCGATTTTCATCGTTCCCCCGAGCCCTCAGAGTAATAGCTTATATGTTTCAGTTCATAACTCGCCTCAAAAATAAAGTAAAAGGAGCGCCTAACCCCCCGCATCATGCACTAACACACCAAGATCTGCAACGGGCTAAAATGACTCTGATTATGTCTACTCAGACCCGCTATTATGACCGGGAAATAGCACTTTTGATGGTATCAAAGCCAATAGATAAAAAGAGCCCACTCTTAGCTCTTAATCCCTTCCTAGACTCGAAGGGACTGCTACGCGCCAATGGACGTCTGGCAAACTCCAGTTTGAGTTATAACGAGCGGCACCCAATAATAATACCCGAAAAATCCCCATTCGCCACACTGTACATAAATTATTTGCACTTATTGATGCTACATGCCGAACTTCGGCTCATGCAGCAAATGATACGACAAGAGCTCTATATCCCACGACTAAAGCCTCAGATAAAGAAATGTATTTTCCTGTGTAAAGTCTGCACTCTACATAAGCAGAAAATGCGCACGCAGATCATGGCAGCTCTACCACCTGAACGCTGCAATTTCTCTTTGCCCTTTACCATCACGGGTGTTGACTTTGCGGGGCCTTTCCAGATAAAGGCCTCTATGTTAAGGTCTTCCACCTTTACGAAGGGCTATGTGGCCGTTTTTGTATGTTTTTCGACAAAAGCGGTACACCTTGAGTTATGTTCAGATCTGACAACTGTAGCTTTTCTCGCGGCATTTGCCCGCTTTGTCGGAAGGCGTGGATTTCCCTCAAAAATAATGAGCGACAATGGCAAAACATTCGTCGGAGCCCAAAGGGCCACGGAAAGGCAATTTATCCAATTTATTAAGGAAGTCTCGCCTGAAATCATAAAGAAATATGCACCCCAAGGAATTAATTGGCAATTTATTCCCCCTAGCGCTCCACACATGGGGGGACTCTGGGAATCCGCCGTAAAAAGCTTTAAAGCGCATTTCAAGAAGATCGCTGGTAATTACAAATTTACTTATGAAGAGTTCACCACTCTATTAGCTCGAATTGAAGCCGTTCTCAACTCACGGCCTCTCAATACCCTCTCGCAAGATCCCTCCGAGTTCACAGCCCTCACCCCTGGGCATTTTCTCAGAGGAGCTCCACTTCTGGCCATACCCGAGCCAGAAACGCAATCCCTATCACTCACAAATCGATGGGAAAGAATTAAAGTTCTCCATCACGAATTTAGCCGTCGATGGAAGGAGGAATATCTAAAAGACCTCCATAAAAGATACCGATGGAAAAACACTCAAGAAGCGCCAAAGATTGGAGACTGTGTCCTAATTCATGACGAATGTCTTCCCCCTACGGAATGGCGGCTCGGCCGCATAGAGAAAGTATATCATGGCTCCGACGGTCATGTCCGCGTAGCTGATCTCCGTACACAAAGCGGCATACTAACTCGACCGCTCGTCAAGCTATGTTTCCTTCCAACCGCCTCCCCTACCGATGGCGCGAATACCGATAGCTAAAATCGTCAAACCGCAATAAACGCAACGAAGCCGTAACAAAACCCGATAATATAAAAAGTGCCTAAATCCGTACCCTCGAACTCACACCAAGTGGCTTACACCTAGCAATCACGCTCATAACTGATGTATGCTATACTAAAGTCCGTTCTCCCCTAATGTAGGAAAATATGGACGTGGAAATGCTTGAAGCCGCACCAACGCCAACTATCCGTTCGGCAATCACCGTGCCCCGCTCGGCAGCACCGCCAGTAGCAGCTCCTCGCTCTACCGTGCCACGTACCGCAGCAGCTCCGGCCGCAGCGCCTCGAAACCCCACGCAACGACCCGCCGCCGCCCCGATGGCATCACTACGTGCCGAACCTCCACAAAGGAGCCCAGCAGCCGTACATGGCGTACGATGCCCACTGTGTCGTCGCCCACACAAACTCCGCCTATGCTCCATTTTTAGGAGTATGCAGCCGCCGCAGCGCCAGCAAGTCGCGCAAGCTCATGGGTACTGCCTGAACTGCTTGGCGCTGTCGCACGCCACGAGGGAGTGCGACTCCCCCATCATGTGCCAACTGTGCGACAGACCGCACCACACGCTGTTGCATCGCATCCCCGCACGAATCATGCCCGAGACACCAGTTGCCCGCAGCAATGGGCGACGAAGACCGCAGGGCAATATAGCACGATCGCGGCGACCACCAGCACAACAGGGCCACCGCACTTTTAACCACCCCGGGGCTCGCTATCGCGCTCCAGCAGGGACCCGTCGCCGACACCAGCCCACGCAACGCCCCCGTCGGGCAACCGGACTAAGCAACGTCGTGGAGACCCTGCAGCAACTCCAGCAGCTACTAGGCTGAAGACTCGCCTAGGGGGGCCGGGATGGCTAAATGAGTTTAGCTGTTCCCCCCTATTGTCTATGGTGAATGG